ACCGCATCAAAATCCGTTGCGTAGTTTTAAAGATCTAAGCATACATACGGACATACAGCGAAAGCGACTTTGTTTTATACTATGTATTGATTGAGATGAACAGTAAATATTTGAGGAGTTCTTAGTGCAAGTGCACTTAGTGGAGAGCTATATCTAGTCTAATAGTTTCCTAAGACGCTTTTGGTCGCTGTTATCACGTAATTGCTTAGATCCTTGTTATCCTTTGGTTCTATTGTTATGCAAATGGCCATGGGAACTGTCGGGTTAAACCTTGCTTCCTTATTTAAGATTGCTTCTGTTGCTAGTAGATATCTAATACATATGTATGTTGTACCTGAACTACATCGTTGAGTATTTATGAGTATTGAGTAAAATAAGTTAATGTGATGCCTGTGTAGCTACTAAGTAAAGTGACTTCTGATGAAAGTTCAACTTTAAAGATCTAAAAAAAAAGGTTGTCCCACATTAGGACACACTAGGACTCTAGGACACTCCTGTGTCGCGAGTGCGTTTGCAAACATACATTCACAGACACAATGACACCCAGTACCAGAACAACAATCTGTGGATCACGCAAAGCGTTGTTCCGTGCGGGAATTGAACCCGCGACACGATGCGCGGCAGCCAGTTGCCCAGCCCCCACGCCAACCGTGCAGTCTTTACTGCCGTACTGCGCTAACCGTGCAAGTTTAAAGAAAAGTGCTGGTTTTTGTTCTCCGAGTGGATAAATGTGAATGAGGATATTCATAATATAGGTAATATTAGTATATTAGGGTTCAAGAGGATCTTTTTGTTACAAGAAGGTTTTTAACTGTTTTCGCATTATACAGAATCGCAAATATTTATTGAGTTTATTAGGATATTAATATCCATGTTTATTTTTACTGTTACTATTATTTACTACCTACTATTAAAACCTACCTATTAAACTTGGGCGACTTATTTTTAGATATCCATCAGTCAGTCCGTATGACGTCGGGTCGTTACCGCGTTTGATGAGCGCACTTGCTGTGAAAAGATGTGGCCCCAATGGGTATTTATTTAACACAATTATTATTTGCATACGATATTTGACTAAGTAATTTGTAATGTAGAAGAGCTTTGGAGGTTTGATGTGTTATTATAATAGAAAAAGGAAATAACGATGAGGTGAGTGCCTTCATCATCAACAGTCTATAAGTGCCTACTGCTGAGCAATGTTTCTTCTCACATGGAGAAGGTTTGAGCATTTATCACCACGCTTGCTCATTGCGGGTTAGCGATTTCTAACTCATAATTAGAAATTAAAAGTCCAGGTTTCCTCACGATGTTTTCGTTCACCGTTTGTCATTGTTGTCAAAATAATCTTAAAAAGTACCTACATATAATTCAGAAAAATTCACATTGATATTTGCCGTAGGTAGGATTCGAACCCTACATGCATAAGAAGCGTCTTAACCGCCGGCATCGGGCCGCTACGACTCACGAGTGTATTATACTTCATTATTATGAAAAATGAGGGTTCATTTTCCTTAGTAGTCAGACAACCTAATTAATGTTGTCTCTTCTTTACATCGTCTAATTTGGGACTTAGCAACTAGGCAACTATTATTACTAATATAAAAAAACAATGTATTATGTGTGCCAGTAAAAATGCATCGCTCTTCAGTGACGTAAACTCTTAGGTAATAGGTACTTTAGTTGCCCGCTTTACAGGTACGGCAGGTAGGCGCGAACAGCTTCCATTTATAGAACAATGTCTGACGTGCAATAGGAAATGACGCATGGTCGCGAGAGCAATGTTGCCTGTACTTGACTAGAATATAATTACTGCAGAACTAAGTACCGGTGAGCTCCCAGCGTTTATCAAAACGGTTGAAAGAACAATCGAGGGCTCTGCTCTGACGTCATTACCCAACTATCACAAATATTGCTAACATATTTCTATTCAATGTGGTTTAGGAGGTAATCATTTCAATGCCAACCACAATGTTTCAAAACACACGAGATAACGATAAACTATATCTTAGTATCTATCAGATTATTTGGATTGATCTTAACCAACAAATGAATGATCTTTGGTTTTTTTATGAACCAAAACGTTTGTCGATAAATCATCCGAAATGAATTATATTACGATTGTTTCGAAATATTGCTTACCGTGCCAGCGATATCCTTCGGCTTCCCCAAACGCCACTATCAGACGACACTGAAGATCGATCACAATTTGATTCGTTTTCGGGATATATTTTGTTATTCTATCAACTAAAAAACTTTCTAAGTCTCGCACATTGTCAAAGTTCAATGTCCCCATGAGACTTCCGAGAGCCCCCTGAATGGCACAAATGTTTTCATTGGGCACTCGCATTTCACATTGCAAACATCGCCAAGCACTCGATGTTCTAAGAGGATCTATCGGTAGTATGTATCCAGAACACTGATTCGAGAAACATTTCAGAGCTCCGAGGAGGGTTCCTCGTTCGGTGGGATCAGAACAACGGTCACATTTACATAGAAAGTGTTTTGTTTTATACAGGTATACTCGACGAGCCGGCGTTCCCCACAAAATTCCAGTGTAACATGAAAATATCTCAGTTCCCGCTCGTATAGGTTTAACAGCTTTAACCGTCATTTGTAGGTCACTATTAAAGTAGTATCTCGTGTTTGGTACACAATTGTGATTCATCAATCCTGACACAGGATACAATCCGCGCATGCTCATTTCCTTTTTACCGTACGGAGTGGCTATTTGGAACGCATTAGTGTCTAGTGCACAACAAGCTGACATCATCAGCTCTTCTTCCTCCTCGGGTATCTCATAGTATTGTTTCAACTTGCGAATTTCATGTCCGTGTTGTGGTGAATTGTGTGCTTGCATGCAACTCATGAACACTTTTTGGTCATTGTTTAACATAAGGGCCCTTATTGGAGTTAATGCGCGAGACAGTACGTTGCCATCGGTATCCTCGACTGGTTTCTTGAGGTTCCAACGAGAAATTATCGAACAATCATTTAAATGACCATCATTATTCTGACACTGTTCTGAGCACAACAATAATGAGCACTTTGAACACTTGTAAAATGAATCACTGTCTAGCTTAGCGCAAACCGTACATCCTTGCTCCACGTTGGAACTAGCTCGTGGTCCATAGATGAGAGGCCGGTCCACGAACAACACTTCTCCAGGCATTATGTCTTCGGTGGCGATGAGGCCACGACCACTTAAGGGCGACTCATTGATAGCCCATTTACATGTATATTGTGTGCCGTCAATGTAGTCACATAGTCCGAGGTGTTCCTTCACCATTTGTGACAATTGCTCCAACGACAACATCCTGCCGCGACCCGTCCGATGACGGCACTGCACTGCGCGCTCAATGCGAATATACAAATCAACGAGTTTGATAACAACTAGGCAATGATCGGATATAAGTATAACATCGCCAAAAACGTACTCGATCTTCTCCGCAATTAACTGAGTCTGATATAAGTGTGCCGGCCGCGTGGAATACGTATACGGACCTGACGTATTCTTCACGGGCGTTGCCAAGCCAATAACGTATAGATTATCAGGTAATTTACGTACAAGCTTCGTTCGCTCGACGTTCTCGTATCACACGACTCAGCTGTTACCTGAGCTCGTCCTACAAACGAGTGAAAGACGAAGACGTGACATCTGGGAAGAACTCAAATACCTATGGTATAAATATAAGTCTGGTTGATCACTATTTTTAAATCGGTGGGAAATGAAATATATTAGGAGCTCAGTGTTGAGGTTAAATATATAATTACAAAACATCTGCGTTGGCCTTCCCGTTAGGTAATGAACGAATTGTAATTATTATAAAAGAAAAAATGATGAAAACTAAAAAACGTAAATAAGATATCAGATAGGATTGTGTAAATCATTTGATATTGTTACTTACTTATTTATTGACTGCATAAACTACGGTGCCAACAAAAACACGTTATAACAATATGCGAATTGTTTACTTTAGATATTTCATTATTCTACGACAGTTTTCATCGTAAACGTTTACGGGATACTAAAAACTTATGAATTTGTGCCTACATTTCAGTCAGCAATATTTCTTTTTGTCTCGACTCATCATTTCAAAACATTTTGTAGACCTTTACAAGTAATGTCAACAAACTCTATAAAAGTTATAGCAATGTTTCGACAAGTATTTTAGCTTGTTCACGGTAGCAGGACATAGCCACGTTCACGCCCTCGATGGCGCACACAAAGTGGCGTCAGCGAATGTAACAAAATCCACTCCCTTTGTTGTAGTAAGTCCCTACGAGGTGGTTCGACAACCTGACCAGTCTCTGTAACCACTTGAACTACGTGGACGTTTATGTGTTTATGAAAAGTAATCTAAATGCCCAATACAAATTGCCATCACCCCGCGAACTCTATCCACGGTGCCTGACCCGCAGTGAACATAGAAAGTGCCTGTTCCTCAGAGATGCAAAACTTGTTTGATGATCTTGAAGATGACTGTCCGTGGTATTACTTCGATAGTTCTTACAAACTGCTTCTGGGAGCTTGCCTTTTCATATTCGGTTGGTTATTAAATTAGTTGCCCCAAGAATCGTAATTCTGGACATAAAACAAGTCGCGATCCATAAATTTTGGAGAAGTGTATGAGTATTTGCATTAAATTATGTTAATGTGGGTCATAATTCAATAGGTGTGTTCGGGGTGCTGCTCAACGGTTGGCTTTTTGCCACATTCATCCACAGTCACCTGCTTGTATATAGGAGTCATATTCTGGTACTTAATTTGTGCACAGCGTCACTTGGTCGAAATCTCGTTGGATTTCCATTTGCTGGATCATCAGCGATAGCAAAAAGGTAAATTATAATTTAAGTTCAGTATTTCTATTTCAACCTACACATTTGTCAGTAGGATTATCAAAGTGAAACTAATGTTGTTTTAGATGGCTTTTTGGTCCGTCGTGCTGTCAACTATTTGCATTTCTGAATCAATTCTTTGGTGTCTTTCAAATGACTGCATTAGTTGTGGCAGTTTTCGAGCGATATTTATTAGCAAAGTTCTACAGACGTGGTATGTACCTAAAACAAATATTATTTATGTGATGAAATAGATAATGAAATCAATTCACACGTTTAAATTTATTAATGTTACAGAGAAATCACTGTATGCACGATTTTATTGGTCATTAGTGGGCGTCAGTTGGTGTAATTCTGTAATATTTGCAACTCCTCCTTTATTTGGATATGGAAAGTACTCTTGTGATGCTACTGGAACCACTTGCAACTTCCTCTGGCCATCGTCGTCTTCGGGAGCCAAACACATAGGATACAGCATACCTTATATACTCATATGTGGTGTGGTACCTGTCATTGCTATGTAAGTGGAATAATGCTTTGATGAAAATGTGAACTCGATTTAAATGAGGTTGATAACCAAGTCATTCGTATTGTTGCCAGATTTTGGTATATGGGGAAGGCTGTTCGATTGGAAAGGATATTCTACAAAGGAGAACAGCAGAAGGAACAAACACGACTAACACAGGTGTCTATGTACTACTCGTTTTTAGATATTTTTAATGATTTATTTATTTAGTTATGTTATTTATTGAATTTATAATTAATTCCAGAGTCTTCACGCAATCTGTGTGGTTACCCTAGCATTATGGATCCCTGCAGCCATCTTGGTTGGTTGGCAATGGCTACCGTTACTTATATATGGTTACAGACCACACGTTCCACCTGCCTTGGTTTTGATTGCATCCATTTCTTCAGAGGTAAGATTGATGAACAAATAGTGACAAGTGTACCTATCCAGTAGTAGTGTAATCCCTAGAATGATGCCCAATAAAATCTAGGTAGGCACTTGGTACTATTATTATGTCTTTTCATTTTTGAATTGAATAAAGTTTAAATGAATTTCAGGCCGCAACAAGTGTACCAGTCCTATGTTTTCTTGCCGGAGATGAGAGGATCCGCGCTGCTCTTCTTGGACGCATGCGCAAACATTACGCCTTGCTGCAACCAGAACGAGCCAAGCGGTATAACAGAGCATAGCAAGAGGAGGAAATACCCTTGAACATATACATGTCCATAGGGTCCCAATCGGAGGTCTCTCAATTGACGCTATCCCAAGAAACGGCCAGCGGTAGTACCTACGTGATGCTATAAAACAATTTTGTAAACATTTGAAATGTATCCCTACGCTTATAATAAAAGTTTAAGTTACATAGATTGTCTATTTCTACTCACAATTCTAACATTACTACTGCGTTGTCGTTTGTAGTGTAAGTACATATGCTCATGTATAACTCCACCAAGTACTTGGATAGACAATGAGTGAAGCAGAGCATAAAACAACTGGTGTTGTGGCTAAGACTCAAGATGCAACTTGAGATTCAGGTTTCGTACTCATCAGGATTGCATTGAGTCTTGCCATACGTCTTCGTTGTATAGTGCTTCACACTTGGTCCTTTACGTTTCTGATAGATCAGTACTAAGAAGAACTTTCATAGGATTATAAAAGATGGCGGACGCTTGCGTGTGGAAAGACGTATTTACTAATGATGAGAGAATTGTTTTGCAACAAGGTTACTTAATTACAGGTAAGGAAATGTTTCATTTATTTAGAGTTTATTGCATGACAAAAACAATAGTATTGTTTTCTAATTACGTATAATAATTTAGCTTGTTGATACGTAATTTAAACTATTGTTTTTTTCTTTTTTTTAACGGTATCTTCGGATTTATTACGTTGCGGGATTCATGTCTCTGGGACGCATCGGACTTCAGTGTTTCGGTGTTTTCTTGGTTTCATCTACTGTACATCTTGGCTTACACGAGTTTTACCGCTTTCGGGAGAGTGCAGCGGGATTGTCCCTAAAAATGCACCTATAGGTATTTCAAAATGTATAATTATCTTTTCAGGTTTACTGTCAGTGATATTTAGTTTCTGGTTAAGCGTGACTCTCCTATTTACTAACCTTCGATATGATGATAGTTATCTCAACATGGGTAATTTCATCGTGGTAGCTTGTACCAGACGTATTGTACCAATGTTCCTACACCTGCCGTTTGTCAACTACATCGAGACGTGAGTTGGAAGAGAACAATACATTTGCATTGAAAGAACTTTTGTTTATTCATTTATTCCTTCTGTATACTATGTATTTGCAATATGAAGGTCCCGGACCCTCTTGTAGTTAATATGGAAATTAGTCTGAAGCTAATTAATTGGATGTAGTAAACAACTTTTATATATTTATATAAAAGCTTTGTTTGTAATCAGTTATAGTGAATTTTGAGTTACCTATTATTATACACATCTCGAGTGTAGTGTTGTGTAGTGAACTAGTTAAGTATGAAGTGTTTTATTTTAGTTAGAGTTATTGTAATTTGAAATGTACTGTCTATTGTATTCATGTTACAGTTTATACGGATTTCAAATATTCTCTTGTGAACTTTTTGCTTTCGTGGAGACGTTTTTGGCAGTGTTCGAGGTCGAATGCCTGACACACGTCTGCATTGAAAGATACGTTGTTTCAAAATACATCGCTAATGGTGAGTATACCGTCGTTTTGTTTTATTGTTTCTTTATTGTTGTAATAAACAATATTTACTTTATGTTCTTCGTTTTCAAGGTTGGCAGATACAAAAGAAACATTATTACTTATTTACTTGTCTTTGCTTGTTCTTTTCTTGTCTGTACTCTATACCGCCGCTGTTTGGTTTTGGAAAGTATGGACATGATTTGGATTGTACATCATTCACCTTCGACATGGTACTACCAGAAACTTGGCAGAGATATTCCATCGTCACCATTTTCTTACTTCGAAGCGTCAAACCAGCGATCGTTATGTAAGTACAAAGCAATTTAGGTCACTAAAATATTGTTGACAAAATTAACGTGCTTGTATTGAATAGCATCTTCTGTAAGGGCTATATTTCACCGAGACACCATAGTGGTGCAACCAGTCGTCGGGACTAATAAAATTCAGTTAAAAATATAACTATATAATAGTCAAAATATAATAGTCAGACCAAAAAAATAAAAAACAGTTCAGTTCTAGTATAGAGTTACTCTGTTACTCACCAGGTGTCTACTTAGTAGCGCAATTAACCTGGTGGCACGACCAGCTCGGATGGTATAATGCTGGTCGCGCCACCACCAATTACTATAGCGCCGTATGGTATGTTATTCAGCCGCCGGTACAGCCCCTACGGTGGTGCGACTGGTGATCCGCCATGGTGCCCCGATGAAATATAGCTCTTATAGAAGATTCTAATTGCTATTCAATACAAGCACATTAATGTTGTTAACAATAAATTAGTGATCTAATTTGCTTTGGCACCGAGCTGCCTGAGCTGTGTAAATCTAACTAAATTGGAGAGGCTGCAAATTAGGCACATCGATTGAATTACAATAAGCATTTGGGAGAAGATAGGTTTGATTCAGAATGGTAATTAGTAGAATTATACTAATTTTTAGAACTGATGTTGTTTGAAGAAAATATTTTTTTCTACCAATCAAACCATAATGAGACCTCCACCTAAATGAAAAGTAAAATGTTTCAGGATTATGACGGTCGTATGGGCTCGAGTGTTGGAGAGAAAGTTTCCATGCTGTGTTAAGAATCAACATATAACTCGAGTGAGTGTTCAGATTTTTTTTATCTTTTAGGTATGTCTGGTTGTATGAATTTCTAATTGGTATTGGAAACAGTTTATTTTGGTTAGTGATCAGCACTTTCCATGGACAAAATTGATATATTTCCTTGAATAAAACTGTGACGTTTTGTAACTAATAAAGCTTGTAATAAAAATCGATTAAAAAATGAAAAATAATTCATTTTTCTTCGTGAATAGTTTAATTGTTCGAATTTTATTAGTGACAGTTTATGTGTAAGTCTCATATGCAAATTAGGTTTTGTTTTAATTTCAGAGTGTTTTAGTAATAACAATAGTGAATCTATTGTGCTGGACACCAATAGCAATGATTAGAGGATATGTGGTGTCGTATTTCTTTGTGCACATGGATGTACCGCGTCTACCGTCCACAGTTTACATAACATGGGCCTTGTGGATACATTGGGTGAGTTCTGGCTTCATGAATTATCTTTATATCTCCGAGACAGACAAACTTGTATAGGAGGTTTCTACTTCGAAATTATGGTACACAATTAAAACTATACACATGGCTACGTATCTTATCGGGGTAAGTATTGTATGTTTGTACATATATGCTGTATGTACATGTTGTTAAATTAAATTCATCAACACCTTTCGATTCGAACATCGAACTTCATCTGTCAACCTATAATTACGACCTGGCGTCACTCGCACCTCGTTAATGAAGCTTTAAATAGTATGTACAAACGTACTTATCAAATTAATGTTGTGTAATCATTATGAAGTGTGACGTAACAACTACAACTCATAAGACGCCAATTCATCTGTGACTCAGATGAAAATGGAGGCTGCCAAATAAATCGCTATCGTTGTATTAAACTGTTTGATCGGCAATGATGAATGCACGTGTTTCATTAAGATCGGGTCTTATGACTGCACTCTTAATTACAAAAGTGCCATTACACACTGCATTCATTATCTCAGTATCTTCAATTATTCATTAATGATAGTGGTTAGCAGGTATAGGTACTTAAAGAAGTCTAATCATGATATTAAGGGATCTTGGACGAAATTTATCAATAAATATAATAGGTACTTATGATTGATTTGATTGATTTGCAAATATTGTGAGAAATATCATGTATGTAGGACCTTAAAACTTCCTCTAAAGTCTAAAACCTAAGAAATAAATACCAACATTAACATTGACATAAAGTATTTTCCTAAACAATACCCAAAGAAAAATACATACGTACCTAGATATGTCAATACCGCAGTCACATGTCGATTGTCAATCCCTTTCACCCTTTCAGCAAGTTGTTGACACATGTTCAAGCTCAAACTGGGGTGCGGGTGAACCGCTTCAGTATAATATGAACAAAACCCGGGTAAACCCGGTTACGTCCCCAACATGGCACAGTTGGAAAGGCCGGGGCAACCGAGGAGGTTTTGAATTTCTATTTGTACACAAAAATACGTTTTCTTTTGTTTTTTTTTTATTTGCAAATATTGACATCTGTTTTCGGGTTTAGCTTTAGAATATTAACATTGTTTTTTTACATTAGAAATGTGTGAATTTTTTTCATTGTATACGTGGTCATGGTTATGAAGCTGGAAGTTACCGTGAAAAGTCATTTAGTTTCGAATTTCTTATCAGTCACTAGTCTTCAACTTTGCTCTGTTTTTGGCCAAAGGCTCATTTGCTACGCCTGCGATACGAACTCATAGATAATTTAGCTGATGACAAATTGCTGTAGTCATAGAAATTAGAATATCTGTGGTCCACAGCTGAACTAAGTAGTCCATGCTTATTTTAAGTCTCGGCTTATTTTACTGTGGACTATAACATCATAACATCACGCCTTTTTATCCCCGAAGGGGTAGGCAGAGGTGCACACAGAAGTAACACCCACTTTTCACTATTTATGTTATGAGTCCCATGTAATAGGGGGTGAGCCTATTGCCATATACCGGGCACATTTCCAGACTCCGTGCTACTACTGAGAATTTTTTAAAAACCCAGTAATACTTTGCCGGCCCGGGAATCGAACCGGAGACCCCTTGTCGCACTTGCGACCACTCGGCCAACGAGGCAGTCTATATACCTGTGGATTATATACCTGTTATTTTATACTGATTTAGTGTAAATTATATGAGAAGACACACTGTACTTACATTGTATTTCAGGTTGCGCCTGCGCTGACAGCTATAGCACTGTTGCTGGTTGATGATCGTGTGCGCAACAAGATGTTTAACTTGCAAGATTATGGAGTTGAAAATGATAACAAAAGAAACTAAACAGTAATTGTAATGTAGTGTTTATTATTATTGGCATTTGCTTATGTATGTCATCAGATGTCTGCATTTATATAGGTAGAAGTAGATATTATGTAAGTATTGACAATCGGATGGGGCCCAATAGAGCTGATGCCGATACGGAGCCGCGGAGTACCTAACGGGTTACCGGGGCTCCGGCTCGAAGTGCAGGAGTAGGAACGGGGTGGTTTTTAGTCAGTAAGAGTCTGACACTCCCTCCCGCCTCACCCAGGCGGAAGAAGTCATTCAATGATTTACCCTCCTTAAAAAAAAGTATTGAACAATAGTTTCTAAAAATGTGTAATGTAGGTATTTAGGTAACATTATAATTAATTGTTAAGTATATATATACGAGTATAAGCAAGTCTACAATGATAGATTAAACAAGCATGAGTAAGAGACGTAATTATTTATTTATAAGGTTAATTTTTTCAAATGACTACTGCTTTTAAGTTCGATTTAGTAAAATATCGTACATAATATGTTTAACATACATAGTGAGAGTATTCATAGTTTCATACCCACAATACCCACATACCTACCTAAATGCAATATGCATGGTACATTCATTTCCATAGGAATTAATAATTAATGTACACCGGCGAAGGTTTTATTGCATGTGACTCTTGTAACAATTACACTTGATTTCCTTGATTTATAATACATAACCTACTAGTAGTTATTCATATACTGAGGCTTTGCGTGATTGTAAACACAAGTGATCGTGCACTAGATTGCTAAATAGCAATTATAGAAGCCATTAATGTAAGATTAGTTTACGAATATCTGTTTGATATTTTTCTTCATCAGGATATTAATAATGGACATATAGTATTTATTGTTATGAAAATATAACCGTATATGAAATAGATTATACATTTCTAGGAAGTAAGGGGTACAGTAAATAAGTAAAGGTTGTGTTGGCCAGTTCGAAACCTCCCAACGACAAATATCAATGTGAGTTTTATTGAGTTATATGTAGGTACTTTCTAAGGTTATCTAGACACTGCCTACTGACTAACGGTAAAGGAAAACATCCCTCTTCACGATGTTTAATTTCTAATTATAAGTTTGAAATTGTCAACCTGCATTGAGCAAGCGTGGTGATTAATGTTCAAACCGTCTCCGACGAGGCCTTCGGTCACCAGTGGCCACTTACCTATAGGCTGTTGGTGACGATGATGATGAAGGGGTACAGGATTAAAAACAAACGTCCAGACAGTTTAAATATATTATTATTTTAGATATTTATGTATAGTATACATAATATAATAGTAACATTAAATAATGCGTGGAACCGTATTAAATACGATTACAAGATTGCCAACAATACAATACAAAGTGAAAAGATTTGTACGAAGAATATCAGCGCAGTCCAGTTACACAGTACATAAGTATGATACATTGTATGGTTAGATATCTAATTCAGTCGAAATGTACATTACTTGTATACTTTAGTGAAGGAAGATTATGAATCCAACCTAGTCCTAACCGAAAAATTATGCTACTGAACACAACGTGGAAATAATTCCTACTTAAAAAGAAAATAACAGTTGCCCAAGAAGTGAATGAAATGGCTGAAATATTAGTTGATCGATTACTTCTAAACTTGCAAAAAGCACAATATGCCTTTACTAGGTACTTCTGATGACATCACATCCTACCCACGATTGGTCCGCAGTAAGGCCATGTATTATGGTCTAAGATTGCACGCACACAGTACAGCACAGACTAGTCAATATTTATCTCAAGAAACTATTCACTTGTGTACTTCAATTCATTGATAGTGCCAAATAACAGCCAAATTTAATATTATACATTTCTCCAAGAAAATTCGGTCTACTATCAACATTTTACAGTATTCCTATCTATACAATAAGATTAATTGTGTATTATACATGGATATATTTAGATTATACACATTACTACTTACGGCTAATTAAATCGATCGATTGCAGTTCATAGGAAACGTATCATAGCGGCACTTTAAATATTATAAGTTTCAATAAAACAAATTGATACAAAGATGAAAATAAACATTTATATTGCACCTTTTTTCTTATTAACTATGTATTCACAGATCACGCACGCACACAACACTTCCTCTGGAATGGGTTCGATAGTCTATATTGAAACGTTCGTCGCATTCATTCATCGCATCGATATTTACAAAGTCACAATCTTCATCATTTACATAATAATTATTTTTGTCACCTATTATTGTAGTGTTGTATACCCTGTTGGTGTAAGAGGAGCTGGAAGAGCTGGCGCAGGCCGAGCTCACGCTGCGCGTGGAAGGGCTGCACAGCACGATGGCCGGGCAGGCGCGCGAGCGCACCGCCGCGTCCTGCTATATCTGCTCCAGCGCCGTGCTCTCCTCCCACCGCCTCTGCTGGCGCCTCTCGATCACCGGGATAAAGAACAATATCAGCCCACTCAGTGATATTGTACCTCCGGCCACGTAAAAGCCCGGCGCGTACGAATGTAGCGTATCAAACAGCCACCCTGTAAAATACAAAAGCAATGAAATAATCTGTTGAAGAAATCAATTAAATCTTGTAAATATTTTAAAGCAACCATTAGGTGAAAATTACCTGCAAATGGTGGACCAATTAGGGAAGCAATTCCTTGGAATAAGAGGAGAAGACCAAATGCGTTTGTTAGTTTCTCGATCCCTAGTAGGTCCACAAGTACAACTGATGTCAGTCCTACGTATGCACCGATGGTGAATCCAAACGTCGTAGCGTATAAAGCAAGACCCCAAAACTCCCAGCACGCCATGGCCATTGCCGTACCTGCAAAAATATAATGTTCAAAATACGTTCGTATTCATAAATTCTACCAAATTTATTAAAGAAAACCAATTCAGTATACGTACCAATTCCTGCAATTGTAAGGCACAAATTATAAGCCAGTAAGCGGTTTACCCACGGCTTATCACTTATGTAACCGAGAATTATTCTGCCCACCAAGTTAGATCCCCCGATTATGGAAATCAGGTATGGTGGATTCTCAACTCCAAGTGATTCGCTCATTGGTACAGTGTAAACATACGGTATGTAAAAACCAATGCTAGTTAAAAAGTTAGATACGGCGAATAAAATAAATATTGGATCTACGAGGAGCGATACATCGAGCATTTCCCCGAGTGCTGCTTTAAATTCTGTTGAGCAAGGCAACCATCCACATTTCACTTCTGGTTCTTCTTTCGTAACACTAGTGAATGTTCTTTCAGGAGACGTTGATCTAAACCTGGCTAGACTTGTCATACTGCCTTGATATAGAACGTCCGGCCTCTGCATGATACCACTACCGTGCCGCGAGGGCGGAGGTTTCTGTTCATGTGGTTTGTTCAGAGCAGGTTGAGATAAAGTTAACCTTGCAATATCATTGTCATCGACTTTTCCATTTGCTCTAAGGACGTGCTCTGTACTCTGAGATCTTTTTAGTGGAGACTTTGGTTGTTTGGGTAGCATAGGTTCTGATGCTGGAGTTCTTGGGGGTTCAGGAACAGGTTTAAATATAAGGCCTAGTGGCACACAATTCAGTATTAAGGCACCGATGATAGCCATAGCACCGCGCCACCCATAGTTTTCTATTAAAGCCGATGTGATTGGTGCAAATAAAAATGTTCCAAGTCCGGAACCACATACCGCGATACCTGGAAATAAAGATTATGATTTAGATTATCAATTTTCAGGAAGAATAAAATTGTTTACATTTCTTGTTTAAGATTTAAATGGCTTACCAGTAGCAAGACTTCTGTAGCGTTCGAACCATACTGTTACACTGACTATGGCGGGAAGATAGATAAGCCCGAAGCCGAACCCTGTGCCGACCCCGATCGTGAAGATGAGCGTGAGCACGTTGTTCGCGAAGGCCGAGAGGACGACACAGGTGGAGGCAAGCAATGCGCCAGCCACCGTCACCGCGCGACATCCCCACCGGTTCACGAACGAGCTTGATATGGGCCCTGAAATAGTTTAAGTTTATTGACATTAGACTAAAATGTGTTATAGACTATAACCAGATTTTTTAAATGCTAATAAATGCAGTGTTTCTTATCAAACTGTTTTTATCTGGCACATGCTGCGAGGATCAGAGTTCAAATCGTATCAGCAATATGAATAATTGCAAAATGATTCATTTGTTTTAAATGTTACATACATGTTCAATTTTTCTGCGAATTCATCATTTATTGAGGGAATTTACATAATTTACATTAGTCTATTAATTTTATCAAACTTTAAATAAAAGCTTGTAAAAAGGGATCTCCTTTTAAAGTTAGCTAATTACACTCTGCCACTGGTATCAGTCAGCTCGTCTCTCTTTAATGACTCTATAGAGTAAACCCCTTTGTGTGAGAGAAGTTACCAAATGAAACAGCGTAGTCCACAGATACTTAGGATTGTATACTATACATTACATATTTCATTTGGGTCGAGTTCTCTTGGGTCCCGACGTATAAGCACATAGTTGATAGGATCATTATTTTGCCCGTGGTGAATGCTCAAAGCCAGAATTACTGTGTATTAAATTGATTGCTTACCCGAACTTAGAGTGACGCCTACGAGGATAGATACGATCCACGCGGTCTTGCCTTTGCCCTCATCGAAGTAGGTCAGGAACTCAGCATAGAATACGCCGAACGAATAGGTCATGCCATCGGCTGAAAAGAGAAATGAACCCATGATAAATCATCGTTTGTTTTATGACCAAAAAAAACTTTTCAAGACTAAAAGTAAAACAAACTTCACGAAAGAAAAACTAAAGTCAATTTTGTAGTAATAGAATTATACTAGATACACATTGAGAGAAAAAATTCCCTACGTAACTTTAACTGCTTTGAAAACAGTTGACATATGGTAGTTCTTAAAAATTAAGATAAGACATGTATAATTATATAGTGCCATTATATGAACAGCTTTGTCCTGTACCTATCAGACTCAAACTTGTCTCAAAGTCCAACAAATATAAACCCTGTCAGCAATCGCGTATCATTCAACTCTGGACAATAACGTCACACTTTTATAACAAAGTAGGTTAACATGATAGGCACACGCAGGTACAATATCGATGGAGTATGGAAATGGGAGAATACGCAACCACTAAACAAAGGAACACGGAGACAATGGAACGAGAGACGACGTCAAAGAGGCTTCCCTTGCCATTCAATGACACGAGAGAAAAATTCTTTACAACGATAAGAGAAATTAAAGAGCTTGGCCGTGGGCTTTCTTCACAAATGGTTGACAGCGCTTAGATTAAAAATGTTCATCAAGTTGTTTGATGCCCACTGTCTTGTTCGCCAAACTTTTGTTTGTAGCCCTAGGTTGAAAGAGAACATCAAAGCGTTGTCAAGTTGAAGGCTTTCAGTTAAGAACCGTATTCGTAATATGTCTATTGTCTATCATTCTTTGAAATAACTAGCGAAAAATGGGTTAACTATAAAATTCTTTTCTGACTATTTTATCTTTTGTTACGCTAAATGATGTTTAGTTTGCAGTTGCCGCCTGTCTACATTTACAAATTAATGAAGCATAGTCTTTAGCTTTAACAAAGAATCTTTTATGTTTGTAAAAGCAACTTGCACCGAAATAAATTCAGTTTCATTATACGTAATGTAAGTACCTACCACACTTAAATTTGTTCACAATTCTCAACAATTCGAAGCCCTTACTTATCACGTCTGTCAAATAAAATTCGTGCCTTACTTGAATAATGATGTGATTTAGGTTTTTTAGACCGTGCGAGACAGATTCCACAATAGATATTCGAGAAAGGTTAATGCAGGGAAAATAAAATGGGTTGCTACCCTAGGCTATACAAAAACAGCGTAAAGATACCAGCTATAATATTAGTATAATGAAATTGACTCAACTTCGTAATAGACTTACGCAAATGCGACCTTTTTGCTTGAGGCGTCTTTTAAGAGTGCTACAAATGATACTTAATTTTGTATTTTACGTCAAGAAGCAATATTTTACGATCAGATACGACTCTCAGGATCATAATTGACCATCCAGAGGGATCACTCGGAGATACTATAAATTAATGTTATTGTAGGTTTATGAATATTTCGTGGAAAAAAGCTCGTCACTTAATCACGTCTTGAGAGTAATTTAAAAATAACGTAAACTGACAGATTCGATTGCGATGAAAAGTAGTTTACAGTTACAATTTAGAGTTAAATTCATCACGACTGGTTCAGTAATTTTGAAACGTAACAAACAATTTAAAACTTATAATAATTAATTAATTCATTTCGATCCATGAAACGAAAGTATTTTCAAATCTAAATGCTAAATGTATTTGAGACTGCGGATTAGTAGTACTATGTTGTCGTCGAAACGCCACAGGATATAAATAGAAAAAGATCGTGCAAAACATTTTATTCGTACGCTAAATTTAAAGAGGGATCAGCTGTTCATGTTTTTGCTTTTAAAGAAAAGGTTCGAGGAAATGAGTTTTCACGTAGCTTACAAAGCTAGCAGTTTTAATTTCAATATAAATTATTCAAGGAAACTTCATGTGTTCATGTCTCTGTTTTTGAATAAGCTGCTCGGCAACAAATGTGGAAATGTTATTTACATGTACAAAGTATTGCTTTGTACGTTATGACAGTGTATATAAAGTTTAAGAAACTATATTAAATTCCAGGTCTGTTAAGTCTTTGTTAGAATGAATTAGAATGAAATGGAGATAATTATAAGACTGAATCGACTTTACTATTTACCTAAATATAATAGGTAATTAAAACAGTACAAAGCCAAAGATACACTAGGGAACAAATGTCTGGCAACGTCGCGTGACTCCGGTCCACAGCGACGTTGATGTTGCCAGATATGTCGACCAAACTCCGGCAACGTCGCTCTGCTTCACCCAACGTCGCTGGTAACACGGGTTGCACGACATTTGTGCCCTACTGAATCCTTGGCTTAATAATTTATTTGATTCGTCGTTCTAACCCAGGACCTCGTGTTCAGCAGTCTCACTATGCGTGTGTACATTCAAGATAACCCATAAATAATAATTTATCACTCGTTTGAAAATATCATGAAATGTTCGGAAGCTTCACGTGATTCTTTTTATTGAATTATCAATCACTTACTTGACATCTGTATGAATGAGTGGCACAATCGAAAAGATAACTTAGTTTTTTATATCGAATTGTCGAAATAGGTGGGAGATTGGGAAGATTAAATGTTTTTGTGTCTATAGATTATGGGTTTTTGTTGCTAAGTGATTTCCGAATCTCTCTCTGTTTGGTATAAAGATACCATAAGTACTCACGGCTTTGTCTGTTACAATCTTTTTAGTACACGTTTCCTTCATTTTCATACATACTTGTCCGAAGAGCACTCCGCACTTGACCTCTGTCAAGATCTCTTCAATGGGATGGGTATTTATTTTAAAGCCTAATGCCTATCAACTTTAAGAACTTCTTTCATTTTGCGGTTCCCTATACCAACTTAAGGAGATGCTCCATATTATATGGTACCTTTTTTTTTAAGGGGGGAAAATCATCGAATGACTGCTCCCGCCTGGGTGAGGCGGGAGGGAGTGTCAGACTCTTACTGACTAAAAACCACCCCGTTCCTTCTCCTGCACGTCGAGCCGGAGCCCCGGTTACCCGTTAGGTTCTCCGCGACTCCGAATCGGCATCGGCCCTATTGGGCCCCATCTGTGGTGGTCTGATGGCTCTTTGAGGCGCGCGCGGAACGCGACGCGCCGTACGCTCGGGTCTGTTTCTGGTCGGATGGGGAGCCACCCATGCTCGCCGTCCGCAGGCCCGCGCGTATTATATGGTACCTAAGATCTATTAAATGAAACTGCAAGTCGTTATATACACAAATAAATAAAAATTGTCTTTTATTACATTGGATTAGATAATATTATTTTATAAATCAGGAAATGTGATCAATTAAACTTACATGATGAACGTAAATTATGTATTACGTCGAGATCAAAGCAACAAAATCTTCATAACATATTTGAGTTCATACTTTACATTGACAAAGTTTGAGAAATCCTCGCCAATAATCACATTATGGGCCTAAAGCATAACTTTCTTATAACTTAGATTAACTCGAAGAAGTTGATCCGACCTGATTCTTTCATAGACCTCACGTCGAACTTACATCAAAGCTTTCTTATTTATTAATAAAATATATACAAATGTAATTATCTTTTAGTGTAACATTATCTACGCCTACTATCGTCTGGAGAATATCTATTACTTTGTTTTGTGGTTTTTTCATCCTGTTATATTATTATTTATGACCATTTTTTGTTTAGGTACTCTCTTTGTACTTAAACAAATTTTATGTTATCACCTACGTACCTAATAATGTGACTACGAGCTTCGGTATGACTTGAAACTAATCGAGAATCATTTAAGTACTTTACGAAAGTACGTGATAGTTTTATACGTCCTTCGTTCTCCATGGTATAAGAAGAACATATGAAAAGGCACATTCGATCAGAAGTTTTGTTGCCCTAACTGAGAAAAGTTACAAATACCGCATAGTGGATGGATAATGTTGTCACTTTCAAAACAAGTTATTGAGGAAAAGTCACATATTTTTATCTATTGAATGAATATAATGTTCTGCGAAGTGAGAGCACACAAATAAATAATGGGATAGAAAACAAATATATAGTATACGCGTGGGATGATATAGGATAATATATCGATACATCGGATAATGTCTTTCATCATATTTATTGTCATACAAAGACGGGAGTAAGATGGTCTTTTAAAATAAAATTTACGATATTGCTAAAAGTTAATCTATATATATAAAAGAAAGTCGTGTTAGTTACACCACTTATAACTCAAGAACGGCAGAACAGATTTGGCTGAAAATTTCGTAGGGAGGTAATTTAGAGCCAGGAGACGGACATAAGATACGTTTTATCCCGTTCAAAAAAAAATTTGTTTTAGTTTCCGGGAAAAACCGGATCGCGCGTACGAAGTCGCGGGCAGAAGCTAGTTAGAAAATAAATTCTATTTAATACTATCCAGAATTCAAACCTCGTGCTTGATAAGTCAATAATCACTATTAATTATTTACCAACGAGGCTAAAAGTCAACACAAAAATGTTTCAGCTGTCTCCATAAAAACTGACATTGTAATTTCATAATGTTCATACATTTTTGTGATTATTTATTTAACATCGTAAGTTAAAAAGTAGCGGAGCCTGACCTTGTTGCATGGCAACACTGTCACGAATTTACCTTTTAACGATTTTCAATTACGACATTTATATTCCCAAAGGATTGATGAAGTAGGTAAGTACTTTGTAGGTCAATGTGAACGAAGGATTATGCAAAGTTGGCGGGTTTTCCTCTCATTTACCTAATGAACTGTAGGTACTTACTACATAGTTCTGAGCACCTTTATATATATATAAAGGTGCCAAGATGAAGGTGTCAAGATCCTTTATATTCTAGCGAGCCAACTCGGCTTTATAGTCAGGTTCAATATACAGAAAACCCTTATAAATTATACACTAAAAACCTTGCTCATGAATTACTCTTTCTCTTAGTGTAAATGTAAAGAAAAACGTTTGGTACATTTTGTGTTTATCGCGTCCAGACAGACGCGAAGGACATTTTTGTCTTATAAAATGTATCTACATAGAATGACCTAGAAACATTTATTT